TGAGAGCTTTGCCTTCCGGCTCAGCTCCCTCTTCACCAAGACGGTCCGGTGCAGCGCCTGCTTTACTGCTGCAGCCGCACCGATCCGTCTGTCGATCTCCCGCTCCATCTTACCCTCACTCTTGATACTTGAACTCCTTCGCTTGAGGTAGGCACTCCGTCCCCACCTGGAGGGAGCAATCCACCGGTTTCCGGCAGAGCACCATGGCCTCAGATTTCGAGATGCTAACTCTCATCCCCGCCGCTTCACACTCGGCTGCAAACCGCCCCAGTGAATGCTGGAGGTCACGATCCGAGGAGGCTAACAGGACCACATCATCTGCAAACAGCAGAGAGGCGATCCCGAGACCCCCGAACCTGACGTTCTCCACCCCCCGGCTGCGCCTAGATATCCTGTCCATGAAAGTCACGAACAGGACCGGAGACAAGGGGCAGCCCTGGCGGAGGCCAACACCCACCGGGAACGTGTCTGACTTATTGCCGAGAATGCGGACACAGCTCCTACTGCAGTCGTACAGAGACCGGATCGCCCGTTGTAATGGGTCCGGCACCCCATACTCCCGCAGCACCCCCCACAAGAACCCCCGAGGGACCCGGTCGAAAGCCTTCTCCAAGTCCACAAAGCACATGTAGACTGGTTGGGCAAACTCCCAGAACCCCTCCAGTAGTCTTGCGAGGGTAAAGAGCTGGTCCACTGTTCCACGGCCGGGACGGAATCCGCATTGCTCCTCTTGAATCTGAGGTTCGACAAACGGTCGGAGCCTCCTTTCCAGCACGCTGGCATAAGCCTTGCCCGGGAGGCTGAGTAGTGTGATACCCCGGTACTTCAAGCACACTCTCCGGTCCCCCTTTTTGAAAATGGGAACCACCACCCCGGTCTGCCAGTCCATGGGCACTGATCCCGACCCCCATGCGACATTGAAGAGGCGTGTGAGCCAGGACAGTCCAACTATGTCCAGTGCTTTCAGCATCTCAGGACGGATCTCATCCACCCCCGGCGCCTTGCCACCAAGGAGCTTTTTGACTACCTCAGCGGCCTCTGCCAGGGATATGGGTGAGCCTCCCCCTAGATCTTCAGGCGCTGCCTCCTCTGCAGAGGACATGTTGGTCAGGTTTAGGAGTTCCTCAAAGTGCTCTTTCCACCGCCCGACGATGTCCCCTGTCCAGGTCAGCAGTTCCCCCCCCTGCTGAGAACAGCCTGGGGTAAGCCCTGCTTTCCCTTCCTGAGTCGTCGGATGGTTTGCCAGAACCTCCTTGAGGCCAACCGAAAGTCCTTCTCCATGGCCTCCCCCAACTCCTCCCATGCCCGAGTTTTAGCATTCGCGACCACCGCAGCTGCAGCCCTTCTGGCCTGCCGGTACCTGTCAGCTGCTTCGGGAGACCCCTGGGCCAACCAGGCCTTGAAGGTCTCCTACTTCAGCTTGACGGCTTCCCTCACCTCCGGTGTCCACCACCGGGTTCTCAGGTTGCCGCCACGCCAGGCACCGATGACCTTCCGGCCACAGCTCCTAGCGGCCGCGTCCACAATAGAGGCTTTGAACATGGTCCATTCAGATTCCATGTCCCCAACCTCCCTCGGGATGTGAGAAGTTCTTCCGGAGGTGGGAGTTAAAGACCTCCCGGACAGGGTCCTCCGCCAGACGTTCCCAGTTCACCCTCACTACACGTTTGGGCTTGCCGGGTCTTTCCAACCAGTTCCCCTGCCATCTGATCCAACTCACCACCAGGTGGTGATCAGTTGACAGCTCTGCTCCTCTCTTCACTCGAGTGTCCAAGACATACGGCCGCAAATCAAATGATACGATTACAAAGTCGATCATTGATCTCCGGCCTAAGGTGTTCTGGTACCAGGTACACTTATGAGCCACCTTATGTTCGAACATGGTGTTCGTTATGGCCAAACCATGGCACGCACAGAAGTCCAATACCAAAACACCATTCGGGTTCAGATCGGGCAAGCCGTTCCTCCCAATCACCCCCCGCCAGGTTTCTCCATCATTGCCCACGTGAGTGTTGAAGTCCCCCAGGAGAACTATGGAGTCGGTAGGCGGCGCCCTTTCCAGGACCCCTCCCACCGACTCCAAGAAGGCAGGATACTCTGAACTGCTGTTTGGTGCATAAGCACAAACCACAGTCAGAGCCTTGCTCCCCGCAACCCGTAGGCGCATGGAGGCGACACTCTCGTTCTCCGGGGAGAACTCCAACACAGCGGCGCTCAGCCAGGGGCTCGTGAGTATCCCCACTCCCGCCCGGCGCCTCTCACCCTGGGCAACTCCGGAAAAGGACAAAGTCCAACCCCTCTCCAGGAGCTTGGTTCCAGAGCCAGCGCTGTGTGTGGAGTTGAGTCCAACTATATCTAGCTGGTACCGCTCCACCTCCTATGCAATTATCCATGAATAAAATAAATGATTGGGGTAAAATATGAAGGTAATCATGGAATATAATGGAAAAGACGAAGCTATACTAGGATTCTCTCCATGTCACTCGAGGTGCAAAAAAAAAACATTCCAAAGTACTGTGCAGTTGTGTTGGACACAACCCTATTATTGCTTGCACAAAACCAAGGCTTTTAGAATCCAAGAATGGGAGCCCGCTGCGGCTCGGAGACGACGGGAGCCTGGAGTGACTGCAGCACGGAGGCAACAGCTGGAGTCGGCTGGATCGCCGAGGGTTGAGCAGGCAGTCCATCAGGTCACGTTTCCCCTTCTGGACACTCGGAGGCCCTTCATAGGCCAGGCGGGTTCCCGCTAACTGTTGATACCACTCATGGAGAACGCGCTCCAAACCGTGGTCTGCTGAGTCCATTTCGGGCCAGATCATTCTGTCACGGGGTGTGGTAGAGAACTCAAACGCAGACCAGGCAGAGTAGCGTGAAGCAGGTGTATATTAAACACAAATAGGAATCGTTACAACAGGGAGTCCAAGCACAAGACAAGAGACGAGGGGGAAAATCCAGCAGGATCGAGACAAGGCAGGCAGATGGGAAACCCGGGAACAGGACAAGCCAAACGGGGAGGTAGAACACAATGATCTGGCAGTGAGTGACTGAGAGGCAGGGGTTTAAATAGTGGCTAGAACAGGTGAGGAGAGTTGTGCTGATGAGGGAGTGCTTGATTAGTGATCAGGGGCAGGTGAAGGGAGTTAGACTGGTGCTGAGGGAGTGGCTGACAGGTAGAGTGAGGAGGGAGGAGCTACAGAAAGACACACAACACAGAAGGCAAAGCCTGATCGTGACACTGTCAGACTTTCTGTATTGCCTTCAAATATGTACTGTCCTGTTGATCAACTTTTCTCATTTACAGTACCTTTCAAACATATTCACCTCCCTTGGCGTTTTCCTACTTTATTGCATTACAACTTGTGGGTAAAATTGATTTTTATTTGGATTCTATGTAATGGACCAACACAAAATAGCCATAATTGAAATGAAGTGAGAAGAAAATTGTTTTGGGACATTCTTAAAAATAAAAGACTGAAAAGCTGTGTGCATATGAATTCACCTTCTTTGCTATGAAGCCCATTAACCCTCCTGGTATGCTCATTTTTTAGGTACAGCAATGATGTTGCCGGTTCAATGTGACCCGGTACATGTGGTGAGATGTGGTAAGATGTGGTGTTAAGATATTCCTTTCAGAAGTCACATAAAAA